AGAGCCCAATGCGGGGCTCGATCTCAGGACAATGGGATCATGACCTGAACTGAAGGCAGAGGCTTTAACCCCCTGAGCCACCCAGGCGCCCGTCTAAGCTCACATTTTTAAGTAATCTCTACATCCAACGTGGGGCTCAGACTCATAACCCCGAGATAAGGAGTTGCGTGCTCTACCAGCTGGGCCAGCCAGGTGCCCCGTGGGAGTCGTCTTTAAGTACGTGGGACACTGCTTCTCAACATCCCATCTCGATGGGATGCTAACCCACGAAGGTTTGAGCAGCAGCACAGCTGAGGGGCAAAGCGGGTCTCCCATGCTGGTGATGTTGCGATCTTGTGATCTTGGACGGTGCTGGACTTGAGCCGTGGGGAAGCCGGGCTGTTGGAGGGCTTGCTTCCACTTTTCCGATGTGGTCGAGACTTTTTCTGTCCTTGTTCATCCATCAGTGGGTTCTTCACCCTCAGCTTTCAGTCTCGGAAAGGATAGCAGGAGTCAGTATAGATATTTTCAGGAAAAATCAGCCACAATAACTGGTGGTCACTAGGGAAAAAACCGGAGCAGCTGGCATTGTCAGGAGAACGGGGCCCCGACTTGACTTCCTGTCCTGTGGTTGTCTCTCCGGCAGGGGTGAGGCGAAAAGGCAGAAGGAACCAGGAAGGGATGGGAGGCTGTGCTAAACATGGACGACCCCCGAAGCTTGAAATTAAGGAGTAAAGGAAGCTCTCTTTTACCCAGCGGGTGGCACACCTGTGAAGTGCGTTCTCCCCATGGATGGAGAGAGGATAAAAATAGGAAGAGGGCTACAGAGGGGTTTGTTAAGCTAATGAGTAGTAAACAGATACAGGGCTTTTAAGGATCCTGCTGTGTTCCTCCATCCAAAATTCATCTGTTCTCTAAGCTTTAAATATCCCATTTATACTTTTAAACCTGTAATTCACGGATTCCAGGACACCTTTTTTTTTTTTTTTTTACACTTGACCATCTCTGAAGTTGCATGTACCGCTGATGGGCGCCGTGGTTGACGTGGCCAGCGGCTCGTCCATTTCTTAGCAGTTGTAAAACAGTGATGCCTTTGCCATCGTGGGCATTTGGGATTTCATGAAATTCAGGATATCTCTAGCCCTCGTTGCCTGCGGCCTTCTCGATACCGTCACCACTGCACATTCAGCAGATTTTGAATGTAAACTGTCATTGAATTTCTCTCAGGAAACACCAGCTGCGTTTTCAGACTTCTTTATTTCCAGATGATGATGGTCCCCTGTGTCACCTGGCCGGTAGCCCCTCTCTTGCAGCTCCTGTAATAACACACATCCTAGCCGGGACCTCCCAGCGCCTCCTGTGTGCCAGGCACCGTTCCCAGCCCCGTACATGGGTTAATTTGTTACTGCTCAGGGCTACTGGGGGGAATGCCACTGTCCCCCACTTACGAGTGAGTGAGGACCACTCACGTGGGGTCGCAGAGCTGAAAGGTGACAGAGTGACAGAGCGGGTACATGAACCCGCACCTCCCGGCTCCGGAGACCACACTCCAGGTCACGACCCCGATTGGCCTCCGCACAGCCTGTATTCATCTCCTGACTGATTCCTTGTTACGTCCCGGATTTGCCCCAAATGCTGCCTTGCTGGTCGCATCACCACCAGGCCCCTCACAGTAAGCTCATCCGGCAGGTGGGTGGACGAGGGCCGAGTCCCACGGCGCCTCTGTCGTGGTTCCCCTTTCTGCTCTAACACTTGCTTGAAAAAGTCTTATTTGAGATACAAGTCACATATCAGACAATTCACCCATTTTAAACATACAGCGCAGTGGATTTTAGCATAGTCACAGCTGGGCAGCCACCACAGGCAACCCTAGAATGTTCGTGTTGTCTTCAGAAGAAGCCCCGCACCCCTTATCCTCATCTGCATTCCCTCCCAGCCCCGCACAACCGCCGACCCACTTTCTGTGTCTGTGGATCTGCCTGTTCCTGCCATGTCCCGTCCAGGCGACCTCACACTGCGGGTGGCCTTCTGGGTTTGGCTTCTCTCGCCGAGCGCACGGCGTCCGGCACGGTGTCAGGGTGCATCTGCATGATAGCGTGCACTGGGACTTCTGTCGTTCTTGAGAATAATGTCCAACAGACTATTGGATAGACCACATTTTATCCATCCGTCATCAGCTGATGTACATTTGAGTTCTTTCTAGTCCTCGGCCGTTGTGAATAGTTTGTGTGCCCATGTCTGTGACCGTGTACATTTTCATTTCTCTCGGGTGTGCACGCAGGAGTGAAATTGCTGGACTACATGGTAATTCTGTTTAACTGGTAGAAGAAAAGAACTTTTAATAGCCCTGGAGACTTCTCAGCCTCATTTACAAGTCCCTTTCCGTCTGTTCTGGATTTCTGCTATTCCGAACCACAGACCACTGCTTCTGCCAGGCCGGGCTTACCGCTGTCGGACACACTGTGTGTTGGGGCCTCTGTCCTCTGGTTCATGATGTGTACCCCAGCTAGGGTGTGGCCCAGGGCAGAGTCCACTCACATATGTATTTCTTTGAGGTATACAGCATTAAAAAAAATCAGCTATTTGTGCACACTTAAAAATCACAAGATCCTGAGGCACCTGGGTGGCTCTGTCGGTTAAGTGTCCGGCTTTTGGTTTGGCTCAGGTCGTGATCTCACCGTTGTGGGGTTGAGCTCTGTGCTCAGTGTGGAGTCTGCTTCAGATTCTCTTTCCCTCTCCCTCGCTCTCTCGCTCTCAAATAAATAAATAGGATCTTTAAAAAAAATCACAAGATTCTACTTAATCCAAACCTTCATATTCTCCTAAAAATTTGGAAGATTTGGTCACGCAGGGCCCATCATCCTATGAGGCACCACTGGACTGCAGCTGAGGCATTTAACAGTCCTGAGGGACACCATCCCTGCCCTGTCCTCCTCTCACTGTGACTTGCTCCACTAGGATTTTGGGGTGCCTGACCTTTGACCTAGATCCATCCTTCCGGCAAAGCTCTGCTTGCCTCTTCCTGCTACTCCCACTAGCCGCTGGTACTTGTGCCATTCAGCTCCCCTCCCGAGTTTAATATTCACTTGTGTGGTTGTTTAGGTGGGAGTAGTGGGACATTGAAAGGGGGGTCTTTGGGTGCTAAGAATGGCAGGCTCTGGGTTCAGTCTCATTTTTACTCCTTTGTCAGCTGTGTGGCCCTGGGCAAATTACCTAACTTCTCTGAATCCCAGTTTCCTTGTACTTTTACAATTAAAATTTGTGTTTTAAAAGTAAGACCTTCCGGGGCACCTGGGTGGGTCAGTCATTGGGTGTCTGCCTTCGGCTCAGGTCATGGTCCCAGGGTCCTGGGATCGAGCCCCACTTTGGGCTCCCTGCTCAGCGGAAAGTCTTCTTCTCCCTCTCTCACTTCCCCTGCTTGTGTTCCCTCTTCTGCTGTGTCTCCGCCTGTCAAATAAATAGATAAATAAATCTTGAAAAAAAGAAATAAAAGTAAGACCTCCTTACAGATCATGATTGTTAGGAGTAAATGGACTGATAGACACTGTTACTGGAATTATTGGCTTTTCTTGATGTCTTGTCAGCCACACTGTAAGAACTTTGGAAACCAGAACCCTGTGGGGCTGGGGGTTCTCAGACATTGTTTCAGCAGTGGGAGGTGGTGGGGGATCGGCGTTTTGGAGGCATCGTCGGGCTGGATCGTCAGGTTCTGTCTGAGAACAAAAGAGTCAGGCTCCTACTGCCAAGGACAAAGGTGCCTTCCTATGAGCGGGCTTCTGGGTTAATTCTTGCCCCATGACACGTGGCCTGTTGGGCTGCATTCAGGGCACGCTCTGCCAGTCATGGCTGGTCCTGCTCGCCGTCCAGCTGGCGTGAGCGAGCACCACGGGCTGGGCTGGGGCAGGTGGCTCAGCGCTGGTGCCGAGGACCCCGGGTGGCCCCTGTAAGGCAGTGTGTGGGACCAGGCAGGTCTAAACCAGGGGCCGCTGCTTTTTGCTTGTTTGAATTAAACATTGACTAGATAATAAAGAATTCCTATTAAATATGCATAGCGTGAAGAAGTACAGTAAAGCAAACCCCAGCGTACCCACCAAGCCGCTTTTTAAAAGGAGTCTTATTGTGTCCTTCCCCAAATCCTATCCTTTTTTCTCTCCTTAACTATTCCAGATTTTGGGTAGGTCACTCATTTGCTTCTCTTTATCGTTTCTACGTAGGTCGGATGCTCTAGACAGTTTGTTGTTTAGTTTTGAAGGAGACGCATACCGTGTGTGTGTGTGTGGTGGGGTCTTTTTGTCCCTTTATCCTACATTCAGGTTGATCTCTTCAGATCTGTCTTCTAATGACTCTTTCCACCTGTTTTTAATTCATAAAACCTACCCATTGAATTTCCAATATCCAGTTGCGTTTTTCATTTATTGGAGTTCTAAATACACCAGTTGTTTTATATCCTGTTTTCAAAATTGGTTTTCATGTTATCAAAGCGAGCATGTTTCTTCCTCTCGACATCATGATCTTGTGAGTGTGGAAGTTCCGGCTCTCTCCGTTGACCCCATTTAATGGTAGGGGCACAACCAGACCCAGGTGTCAGGAAATGGCCAGGATCACACATTCCTAAGCGACACTCAGGCCCCAGAGCCTAGGCCCTTGCCATGATGCCGCCGCCCCCAGCAGCACCACACCTGCGGACGGATGCCGGGGGCGGGACGCGGGGGGCAGGAGTCCGGCCTCACATCTGCCAATAAACGCCCTCTGGCCTCTGCTGGCACCAGACCCTTCCCCACGCAGATTCCTGGGAAGGCCCAAGGAGTTTGACAGCTTCACTTAGAATGCTCAAAGACACCCTCCTTCCTTCTCTCGCTGAGGTTGGCTCTGGCTTAAGTTGTTTTTGTAAGCTCTCTGGCCCGGGGTCTGAGGTCGCCAGCTGCAGAGTGGGTACGCAGGGCTGGGGTGCAGGGTGGGGGGTCCCCGTGTGCCTCGGGGTGGTCGGGCACCTTGCTGATTCTTCACCCCCTCCCGTGTAGGCCGCACCAGCTTCTACGAGGAGTACGGCGTCATCCGCGATGTGCTCCAGAACCACCTGACGGAGGTCCTCAGCCTCGTGGCCATGGAGCTGCCCTACAACGTCAGCAGCTCAGGGGCCGTGCTGCAGCACAAGCTCCAGGCCTTCCAGGCTCTGCGGGGCCTGCACAAGGACAGCGCCGTCCTGGGCCAGTACCAGGCGTACAGTGGGCAGGTGCGCCAAGAGCAGCAGAAGCCAGACAGCTTCCACAGCCTGACGCCGACCTTCGCAGGTGGGCCCCGGGGCTGCCCCCCACTAGAAGCAGCTTCCCGAGTCCAGATGCCCTTTGGTTTGGGTTGGAAGAGACCTCAGGTGGGACACGCGCAAGGGGGCTCGTCGCCAAGGAGGAAGGTCCTTCGCTTCTCTGGCCTTTGGGCGTCTTTCGGCAGTAGCTGACCTGGTGGGTCGTTCTGGGTCGTTCTGGGTGAAGGGCGCCCCGGTGGTGGTCTCAGTCCGGTCCGCATCCACACACGCTTCTGGAGCTCTCTGAGCTGGGGACAGACCCAGCTTTCGCCTATAACCAGCCCCCCGGGGAGGCTACAGATCGGTCCAGCCACAGCCCAAGGCACCTCCAGCAGGCAGTCTCCCTGCTGCTCAGACAGTCGTCCTCCCGAGCCTCCTGTGGACCGTTTCCAGGCCCAGAGTGCCCCCGGAGAGGCCCAGCCCCCAAGGTAATAAGCTCCTTCCCAGGAGCGGCGGCTGTCCGCGGGGCACTGAGGATATGCCAGGCCCTGGCTAGAGGCTACCTCCTAGGTCCCTGAGGGCACAGACCCGGGACGCAGGCAGCATTACTACTCCCATTCCGAGGTCAGGAAACCAGAGGCTCCATGAACTTCAGACACTTGCTCAAGGTCGTATGGAGGCAGTATGTGGGAAAACCAGGCGGGGAACCCGAGTCAGGAGGGCACTGAGCTCCTGGCTCCCACTGCCATGTGCCTGCCCCCGCACGGCCCCCCCACTTGCTCACCATCCTGCTGTGGGCTCAGAGCCCTGGCCCTGCCCCTTCTCCCCTGCCTGGCCTTGGCTCAGGCACATCCGGGTGCTCTGCAAGTGGGAGGGAAGCATCCCCACCCCCCCGCCACCGTGAGACTTCAGTTCTCTTTGCTGGCGCAGGGAGGCTAGGACCATAAGGCGCCTCACGGAGGGGTGGCTGAGGTGGTCCAGAGGCTGCGTTTCGAGCACTGACTGGGCATTGAGTAGATGCTAGAAAGGCTGAGCATGACAAAGCCTGGGGTGCTTCAAACCACCTGCCTAGAGGAGGGGCTCCGCGACGAGAAGGGCTGATGGGGAGGGAGGGAAGGGAAGGTGGGTGTGCTGGGAAGTCCTGGGCTCTCTGTGCCCACGTGTCACCTCCGTTGTCCCCTGTCACCTCAGGCATCCTCGTTCACATGGACAACCTTCGCTGGGAGGGCGTCCCTTTCATCCTGATGTCTGGCAAAGCCTTGGATGAGAGAGTGGGCTACGTGCGGATCTTGTTCCGGAACCAGGCTTACTGCGCCCAGACCGAGGCGCGCTGGGTGGCGGACCAGAGCCAGTGCCTGCCACGGCAGATCGTCTTCTACATCGGACACGGTGAGCTGGGCAGCCCCGCCGTGCTGGTGAGTCGGAACCTGTTCAGGCCCTCCCTGCCCTCCGAGAGCTGGAAGGAAGTGGAGGGCCGGCCTGGGCTCCGCCTTTTCGGTCGCCCCCTGTCGGATTTCTATGCCTACAGCCCCGTGAGGGAGCAGGACGCCTATTCCGTCCTCATATCTCACATATTCCACGGCCGCAAGGACTCGTTCATCACCACGGAGAACTTGCTGGCCTCCTGGGCCTTCTGGACCCCCTTGCTGGACAGCCTGGCCTACGAGGCCCCGCGCCTCTACCCAGGAGGAGCTGCGAACGGGCACCTGTTGGACTTCGAGTTTACCGGCACTCAGGTGCGCTTTTCCCAGCAGCAGCCGGAGCAGCTGGTGCCGGGGCCTGGCTCCGCTCCAAGTCCCAGCGACTTCCAGGTTCTCCAGTCCAAGTACCGGGACAGCCCGCTGATCTCGGCCTGGCCCGAGGAGCTGATCGCGAAGCTGGCCGATGACATTGAGGCCACAGCTATGCGGGCAGTGCGGCGCTTTGGCGAGTTCCACCTGGCGCTGTCTGGCGGCTCCAGCCCCGTGCCCCTGTTCCAGCAGCTGGCCACCCGGCACTACGGCTTCCCCTGGGCCCACACGCACCTGTGGCTGGTGGATGAGCGCTGCGTCCCGCTTCGAGACCCTGAGTCGAACTTCCAGGGGCTACAGGCGCACCTGCTGCAGCACGTCAGGGTCCCCTACTACAACGTCCACCCCATGCCGGTGCACCTGCACCAGCGCCTCTGTGCCGAGGAGGACCAGGGCGCCCAGATGTACGCCAGCGAGATCTCGGCACTGGTGACCAACAGCAGCTTCGACCTGGTGCTGCTGGGCATGGGTACGGATGGGCACACGGCCTCCCTGTTCCCACAGTCGCCCGCCGGCCTGGAGGGCCCACAGCCAGTGGTGCTGACCAGGAGCCCCTCCAAGCCGCACCAGCGCATGAGCCTCAGCCTGCCACTCATCAACCGTGCCCGCAAGGTGGCCATCCTGGTCATGGGCAGGATGAAGCGGGAGATCACCATGCTGGTGAGCCGCGTGGGCCATGAGCCTAAGAAGTGGCCCATTTCGGGGGTCCTGCCCAGTTCTGGCCAGCTGGTTTGGTATATGGACTATGAGGCTTTCCTGGGATGACGGTGCCTCTGGCCTTTGCTCACTCCCACGCTTGCTTTCCCCTGTCCTGTCCCCTTCCCCTTAGTCCTGCCACCTGCCCTGGTCCTCTGGAATCTGATGCCTCAGGGTTAAGTCCCCAGAGAGGAAAGGACCAGGCCTTACCCCAATCCCTTTGACAGTCTCTATCCAGTTGTGGTGGGTAGACACAGACACAGGGAAGAAATGGAGGCTCTGCTCTTGAGAAGCTTCCAGTCCAAGTCAGGAGAGGAATAGCCACCTAAAGAACATACCAGCAGCAGTTACACGATAACACCAGCCAGCACAAAATAAGACGGTGTGGAAGCTCCCAACTTCAGCAGAAATGCAACAGCTAAGGTTAATCAGGGAAGGCTTCCTGGAGGAGGTGATCCTTGAACTGGCTCCTGGGGAAAAGACGACTGGATAGTAGTGAGACAGGGGCACAGGTGTCCATCAGGTACAGTGCCCATGCGAAGCAGGTGCTAGAAACCATCTGGAGACCTCGAGTTGGCCGTTTCTTCTATCCCTGCCTTTCTTCCCAAGCCTCTGACATTTAGCCTACTGTCCTGGCCTCTCTCTGGCTGCTTCCTCCTGCTCTGTCTCTCTGGGTTCCCTTCCCCTCTGTCTCCCTGCTGTCCCGCAGACAGATGAAGGGCGGTAGCAGTGACACAGCAGCAAACAGTGGGAAGTTTCTTGCAAGTGTTGTTTGGAGCTCCCTTTGTCTGTAGATGAACTTCTCTGTGTGGGGGAGGCCCCCTGCCCACTCTCCATTCTCTGGCCAACCCCCTTCGTGATATGCAGTGGGCATAGATGACTCGGCCATTCCAGGGGTCCCTCACTCCAGAGGGTCCTTTACACCTCAGGAGACTTCCTGTGGGCGTTTCCACTCTCAGTGTACTCTCTTGCTTTACCACGCAAGATCCGGTTAAGTCTTTCTGTGATGGGGACACGTCGTTTGTGGGGAGAGATGTGAGGGAAATCGTCTGGACCATCCAGGGGCTCTGATCTGACCAGACAGGGGCTGGGCCTCCGCCACAGGGCGGCTGCGGTTCCCAGGCGGCGCTGGCTGCCCATGGGCTTCTCAGGGACTTGACCAGTTTGCAGCCCCCCCTCTTCACACTACCTCTCAGGGGCACGGAGTCTGTCTGCCTGCTGTCTGCTGGCCCCTCCTGCTGCATCTCCTGGCACGGCCTGACACACTGACCACCTGGGGAGACAGACAGGAAGCCGCTGTTGAGAGGAGGTGGGTGCTCTGTTCTCCATTAGCACCAGGCCGGTAACAGTGGCGGGGGGTGGGGTGTCTCTCTGAAATTCCTTTAAGAAATATTCTCACACATTTAGTTGGTATTTCAGCTGCCCACATGCTCATGCTCCCAAGGCAGGACTGGGAGGGAATGAGCCCGATTTTCCCGGGTGGCTGCTCTCTTGTTTTAGAGTCACACCTTGTGTCAGCTCTTGGTGTCACACTGAGGGCTTTCCTTGGTGAGGAGATACGTCCAGGCGTATTTCTCTGCTTTTGATTGTTTATACTTTCTTCGAGGCTATGGACTGAAAAGAATTCCGGGGCCTGAGCTGGGGGTTCTCCGTGGGAAAGGCTCTCGTGTTCAAAGCCCCCTGGCCTCCCACGACCCTCCGACAGGACAGGTCTCCTTACACCGGGAGAGCTAACCTTGACAAAGCTCTCCCCAGTGCCGGATCGGCAAGTCTCTGTGTCTGGGGGTCTGCGTTTTAGCTGTTTTCTTTTGCCTCCAGGGCTCATGCTCCTGAGGGGACACGGATGGTTGCAGGCCCGGTGCCTCCTGTGGCCATGTGGGGGTGCTCTTGCGCCGTCCCTGCCCTCCCTTCCCCTCCCCTCCCTTCCGGGCAGCCCAGGAGCCCTTGGCCTTGAACACGCCCCCATGCATTCTTCAGGAACTTCATCCTCTGTGGTTTTAACACCGCCATGGCCACGGCGAAGGCCAGCAGGCTCTTGATGTCACCACTGCTGAATAATAGTGAGTCTGTGTGGGCCTGAGCCCAGGACCTCCCGTCCGAGCGGAGGGTCCTGCCTTCATCCATGGATGGGGCGGGGGGCGGGGGCTGTGGCAGGGGGGCCAAGTGGTGTCCTGAGATCACAGCAGAAAAGTCCACCAGGAGACCCTGCCAGTGTTCCCCTGCGTCCGCTTGCTCCCTTGTCCTGTACTGGGCCACCTAGACTCATGGTGTTCCGCCTTTCCTGACCGTGACCCACGGCCGGAAGCACACCTTATCTCGGGAGTCTGTGAACACATTCATGTGCGAGTCTGCCTCACGCACAAGTTCCATGAAGGAATTCTTACCTTAGGACGTGAGACACCCTCCAGTTTCTATTTTTCGTGTTTGAGAAAAGCTGCTTAGAGCCTGTTAGATTGAGCTGATGCATAGTTCGAAAAATGCTGCTCTGATCCAACTTCACCCTGTCTGTGAGCCAAGGGCCCCGAGGTGCAGAAGGGAGCCCGTGTGTCGAGCTCACCCGGGGACCACGAGGGAGCATGCTGGGACAGGAGCCCGGGCTATTCCCCAGGTTCGTGCCGCGGGCCCGTCTGCTGCAGTGATGCTGCTGTGGCCCCAGCGTGGGTGCCGCTCTGCCCCCCGACCCCCCCCCCAGCCCCGTGCCGGGTGCTCGGCTCCCTTCCTCGAGGGGTTGACGAGGACCGGCCGGCACGACACACTGTGCTCGGTGGCCTCCACTCTCTTGTGCGCCCAGTGAGGAACGTGAGGGGGTCCTTGTTTGCAGAGACTTGGACACCAGAACAGCAGTTGTCTGATGCCACCAGGCCAGGGTGCCCCGAGGGGCGGGCGGGAGCCTGCCTGTCCTCGCGGACCTGGGGGGCTGGTATTAGCATCTCTAGAACGAGCACCTCGCCATGTGCTGTGGGGAGAGAAGGGAGGGGCTTTCCAGGTGGTCGTAAGCCAGACTCCGAGTTTGCTCTGGGAGCGCAGCTCTCTGCTGACCGCAAGTCAAAACAGTCTTGTCGCGCTGGCCACTGCTGCTCGATTCTCTGCAGACAGAGCTCTAGTCCCACCCTGGGGCTGGCGGGTCGGCGGCCTGGCGGGTCGGAGTGCCCCCCTCCCCGGGTCGTCTCCCCGGAGGACCAGGCCTGCTCTCCCCGGGCCCAGAGTTCACTGCTGCTCTGCCTCGCTCCCTCGCTTCGCTGTTTGTCCAGAGAGCTGAGGTCGGTGTGGCAGAGAAAGGAGGGGGGAAGCTTCCATAGGCCCTTAAGGGGTCGTTTCCTGCTGTTTAGTTTTCCAGGGACATAAAAAAAATTTATTTTCAACAAAAACACATGCAGCCTCACATAAGCAGCATAGACTCAGTCTGTGTCGGTTTTATCCGGTTAGGTTTTTCTCCTAAGGAGACAGGAGCCTGCAGACCTCAGGCCGCTTGTAGAGAAGCTGCCTGGCGGCGTGTTCGAGAACGCACAAGGCCCAGGGGAAGGCCTGTGGTGGCTGGCCAGTGCCATCCGCGGCCGCCCGCCCCTTGAAAGACAAACCCAGAGGGCCGAGGGCCATGAGAGGGCTGCTGCCACCCAGTGTCACAGGGCCGTCCCCTGCTGTCAGCCTCTGCTGCTTGTACCACCCCCAGCCCCCACCCCAGGGCCTCCTGCCACCCTCCGCTGGGTCCACAGCTGCAGCCCATGCTGAGGGCGCTTGAGGGGCTGCTCGCTTCATTCCGGGGTCCCGTCCTCCAGCCACACCAGCGTCGGCCGCTAACAGGAGCCCAAGGGGGCGTCCGGCCGGATCACAGGGGCGAGCGGCTCAGTTGGTCCGCCTGGTGCTCAGAGGCTCTGGGTATGTTTGTTCCAGCAATGAGTGTCGCCTGGTTGGAAGTGTGGCTTGCTTCCCCCGTGGGCCCTGCTGGCCCTCTGCCCACCGCAGCTCACCTGAGCCACCGGCTCTGTCCAGCTTCTGTCTGGTGCTAGGGGTCCTGCAGGGGGCGCTGGCGGGCCGTGGGCCCCTCTCACACCCTGTGGCGTCTCCATGGAAGTGACGGTCCCTTCGTGGCCTGTCAACGCTGGGGCGGGACACTGCAGTCTTCCCTCCACACGTGTCATCACCCGCTGGAGCGAGCGGGACCCCAGACCGGCGTATGTTTCTGGGGACATGCAGTGGCAGATGTCTTCTCCAGAGGCCGTGCTCCGTGGCCCCCATTCGGCTTCCCGGGTGGGGTGTGAGCACGGCATGCACGGCTCGTTGCTAAGCGAGGCACAAGCTCACCAGTGCTGTCACCAGCACGAGACAGAAACGGCAGGAGATTGGAGGAGGCATTTCTGAAATCCTAGCGAGCTGGGGAGAGTGATCTCTTTGGGGAATCTTCCTCCCTGGGGAGCTTCTGTTTGCAAAGCGGACCCCCGGGGGCCGTGTCTGTACGTGACCTGAAGGTGGACGGGGCGGGGGGCTAGTTGAGTTATGCTTCTGCTTGTGTGTTCGTTCCCTAGGGTGGTCTTTGTCTACACCCCTTGCCCCGCTCTCGGGTGTTTTGCAGGAAGTCTCTGCATCTTTTCCGCCCCTCTGGTGCAGGCCGGGTAAACAGACCCATTTTCGGTTGCTGAGAGCTCAGGGAGCACATTTGAATGGTTCGTAGTTCGCTGTGAAAGTGGAAGTGCGAGCGGATGCCGCACAGACTCGCCGGTGCGGTGTTTAGCTGTATTGCTACGGAGGTCTAGAGAGGTCGGTCGTAAAACGTCATGAGATACCTAACTAGCAAAGGACGGGATGCTGGGTTAGCTCCTGCTGAGGGCCCAGAGTGCATCCAGCTCTCCGAGGTGGGACCTGCACAGTCTTCTCCTCCCGGTCCCGCAACCAAGGCCTGAGTGCGGGGTCTTGTCTCCAGCCGGGAAGGCCAAGCTGATCCCGGGCCAGCAAGAGACCTAGATGGGGCGTGGGGCCAGCATGGAAACCAGTGGGTGTCGCCGTCAAGACCGTGTCCAGGTGTCCCGTGCTGGGACACTCCCTCCGTACCAGGCTTCTGCCTGGCAAGCAGAGAGGCGAGAACCTCCTTTCTCAGAGGAACCGTGTCCTTGTGCGGTGGGGAGACTGAAGGCGCGAAGCCCTCCCTGGCGAGCAGCAGGAAAGTGCCTTGTCTTCGTGCACGAGGAGAGACTGCCCCTGGTTTCTGTGGAAGCGGCGGACACTTAGAGATGTCTTAGACAGTGAGACACGTTCAGAACAGAGTTTTTAAAATGACTTTTTGTATGTCAAATGGAACATGTATTTTTTAAACACTAAAATTGTTTTGCCAAAATCTGTGCTCTCCTTTTTCCTGCGGGAGACAGGGTGCGTGGGTGACGGACCTGGTCGCTGTGCTGTGTGTGGGGCTTGGCGGAGGGGAGGGGAGAATCTGGTCCCCAAGGGAGGACCTGCGTATGTCCCTTCTACACACACAGGTGTGTCTGGGCAAAGTGGCTGCATCCCATTTGCTCGAAGCCCATAGGCCTCCCGGGAGAGACCTCGGTGGGCCAGGTGCCCGGGCTTCATGGGTCCCTCAGCCATCCTCCCCAGCATTGCTGGCAGCCCACCAGCTAGCTGGGGAAGCCCTGGGCCAGAGGGAGACGCCAGGAGGGAGCATCTCTGAAAGCCGCGGGGCCTGATACCATCATTGGTCTTTTCTGTGTGCTCTGCCTGATTCTCACCTCCCACCTGTGTCATGTTCCCAGGAACATAAAGATTTTTGGTGGGGCCAGGGCTGGACGTCAGGGGACACGGAGGCTGCTGTGGGCTGGGCTGGGACTGCGGCCTGTCCTCTGAGAGCCACGGCGGAGGGTCCCCGGTGGAGAGCTTCCCGAGAACCAGCGCTCAGGTGACTCTTCCAGAAACAGGCTTCCTTCGTCCCGACAAGGGGCTCCTTTGATGTCTTCCCTTCTCCCTCAGCCGGCTCCAGGCCACCCTGTCCTCCTGCTCCAACCCCAGAATTCACCCAGCAGCTCCCCTCCAGCAGGCGGGTTGCCCAGGTGGCTCGGCCCAGCCCATCCCAGCAGAGTGACCCCAGGCCCCTTCCCAGGGCCTGATTTCAGGACACCTCAGCCTGCCCCCCCACACCCTGCGGAAAGGGTCCCTGCGAGACAAGTGGACCTGTCTGGGATCAGCGCTGCCCCCGTTGCCAGTGGGCCTCATCCGCTGTCCTAAACCCTGAAGAGAGGAGCCCCTGCCATAGGCCCCGACCCCAGTGGTCCAGTGTGTGCTGACGGGATATAGGACTATAGTGTTGACCTTTCCAACACCCCTTCACACCCTCCCCCAGAAGGAGGGCCGATGCCTGAGGCTGGGTCCATCAGAGGGGAGGTTGATGCCAGGTATCTTCAGCTCGCCCACCCTCCCATCTGTTTGCTCTGGCCTCATTGGCCTCTTGGCCTCCCCCCACCAAATCTGGGCCGCACAGGCTCCTGCTGGGTGCATTCATAGGCCAAGAGTGGGGTGGGCCATTTATCACCCCAGCTGGGAAGGGTGCCCTCATCCTTGAAGGAAGGTCTGGGGGCTGGTGCAGCATCGACTCCCCATGTGTCTCTCCCCTTCAGTCCCAGGGGGTGGGAACGGCACTCCTCCCTGACCTACAGCCCTGGCCTGCCCCAGCCCCCTGAGGTTTCCACTATGGGTCCAGACCTTCCTACCGAGCTGCTTACACAGCTCGGCTCAAATTACCCCAATGCATGTGCACCCAAAGCCTGGACCCCAGGCTGAGAGACCGTCCCTGGAATTTTCCTACCTGGAGCTGGTGGGAACAGAGAGTTCTCTCCTGTGACTGAGGAGTGGTTGTAGGTTTGCCTGGGGAGCAGGCAGTCAGGGCTCCCGGCCCAGAGAAAGAACCCAGGTAGACAAGGGGTACCGAAGGGTCCTGACATCCCTGTCCCCCAAGGCTTGCTTCTCCCATGCCTTCACCAGTTTTGTGAGCTACCCAATCTCACATTTTTCTCCAACTTAAACTAATCGGGTTGGATTTTTGTCATTTGCAATTGAAGAGTCCTGGGTAATACGGTGTGGACAGATAGGAAACATTCTAAAACGAAATCAGAAGCCCAATACTAAGGAGGTTTCACCTCCCTAACGTTGCCCCAAAGCCCAGAACCCTCTGGGGGGGTGTATCACAGAGGACACGGGCAGTGCACTAAGCCCCACCTGGGGCTTGGGAGGGCTTCCTGGAGGAGGAGGTGCTGAGTCTTGAAGGATGAGTAGACATGGGCCTGGAGAGGCGGTGGGGGCCCACCCAGGCAATCCCAGGCAGCCCGAATGGGGTAGGTGGCTGCGTGCAGTCCTGGACTGCTGGAGAGAAACCATCCCGGCAGTGCATGTGGACAGCAGAAGTGACAGAAGCCGGACCCTCAGGCCTTGAAGCCAGCCGAGGAGCACGGACGTTTTCCCAGATTGGCCCCAGCTTCTTGGACTGGGTTACCACCAGATTTGGGGAGACTTGAAGACACAGGACCAAAGATATACCAAGTCCTAGGGGGAAAAAAAAAAACAAAAAAAAAAACCCTGCTGCAAGAGTTGAACAAAAATATTATTTTTATGCTAAAACAACCTACCCTGGGCAAAAAGCAAAATTCCATCCCTTTCCAATATAACACACAAGACTTGCAAAATAGTCCCACTGGAGGTGGGTGAGGGTGGTTTGGGGGGCAAGTTCGAGCATCACTTCCCTGGTGGTGGGGGTCATCGAGATGCTTCTCACGCAGGAGGGGTCCCGCCGGGTGTGGCCGTGGTGTGCAGGCTCAGCAAGGAGGGGGTCGGCCCAGCTGCAAAATCAGCTCACCCCGGAGTCATTCATGCCCCAAATAGCGATGCATGTCAGGGGTTCAGCCGGGAAGGAGGTAGCTGGGCTTCCCTTTCCACACCAAGCTATGATCTGTCACCTGGCCTTCTCCCCACCAGCCCAGCAAGGGCTGACTCCTCATCGCTGTGCCTGCCCGCCCCGCCCCCGCCTGGTACACACTTGGTGCCAAATAGGTGCTTGTTGACTCTGTCACTGACTGGATCAGTAGCAGGTCATTGGGCTGTGTAGCCGTGTGTTCTGTATCAGCGGCAGAGGCCGGGGTTTGCCAGCTCTGTCCATACCTCCCTCTCCTGGTCTCGGGGGGGCTGCCGAAAACGGCTTCCTTTCCGGCCCGAGGCCAGGCCCCGCAGCCCATGACATTCCACGCCGCCTGTGGCACATTTCTGTCCCCTCATTAGAATGCTGGGAGTGAGGACACGGGATTCTCACTGGCATTGCCCTTTCCAGGATGACAGGGAGGAGACTGCACGTTGGGAGGGGAAGAGTTGGCCCCTGGAGTCAGAAAAATTTGGGTTCAAATCTGGGCCCTACTGTTCGGCTGCCGACCAGTGGGGATGATTGGACCCCCGTGAGCCCAGTTCCCCCTTTATGAACCAGGACGACAAACCCTGCTTTCTGGAAAGGAGAGTCAGAGCGGGGGTTCAAAGAGGCCTTCAGCACCAGACCCCCACAGTATGTCCGTGGGGCCAGAGGCACAGGGTGAGCCAGAGGCACAGCAACAGCGAAAGCGGGGGCCACGAGCCCAACCACCAAGCCTGTTCCTCTAACACTTGCAGATGCCCCGTGTGCCAGGATCCGTCTCCCACAGGGGTGACTGAGATGCAGCCCCCATGCTCAGGAGACTCGAACCCGGGAACAGAGTATCCTCCCTCGGTGCTGCGTGTGGGGCAGGTGGCCGCAGGGCTCCAGGGACAGGTGGCCCGGAGGCCACCAATCAGCAGTTTGGATCTCATGTTACCCACAGGTATGTGTTGGTCCCTTGGAGGACACAGACTCGTCTTCTCAGTGTCCCCGTAACGGCCACAATGGTAGCCATGGACCCGGTTCACCAGCCAAGTTGTCCATCTGGCAGCCCAGCCCAGGCGGGCCGCTCAGCCTCTCCCCTGCCCTCACTTTGCCCGGCACAACTGAGGTTTCACCTCCCTAATGTTGCCCCAAAGCCCAGAACCCTCTGGCGGGAGGGGAGCTGGGGAGTAAGGGTGGTGCAGAGCTTCTTGCTGGGTCTCTGCTGGTCCCTGTGTCCTTCCCAGCCGCCCTGGGAGACGGAGCTGACCCCCCCCCCCCAATAAACATCTTCTTACAGCCCGGCCCACTGGGTGCAGAAAAACACAGGTTGACAGTCCTGCAGATGGCCCTGGATTTCGGCGTCCGCCGTGGAGTGTCTCCCAGATGTGGCTTCCAGACAGGGCTCAGCCCACGCTCGCTAAGTGCCAGCCGCCTGGGTGGTCTGGTATCTGAACCAAATCCAGAGGCTAGAAGGAGCCCGGGTTCGAAACTGCCACCAATTTTCTGAAGGTTTCTTGTGGAGCTCCAGGCAAACCCACTGGTTGAGTGAGGAGAAAAACAGACCCCTCACTTAAAACCAGATGTCAGCATGTATCCCAAAACAGCTCAGGGAGACAGACCACCCCCCTCTCTGGGCTTCTCCCTCCCCTTACCGCCCCCCCAACCCCAGCAGGTTGGGTCAGCTACCACCCAGCCACACCACAGAGGAGGACCCTGGGCAAAGGAGGCTACCTCTTAGCTGGCAACTAAAAATATTGACTTGGGTTTCTTCTTTAAATAGAAAGGAAATTCAGCTCACTCCACCCCAGTCAGCCTCCTTCTGGGTTCTGAGTGGGCGCCCTGAGGACCTCACCCAGACTCAACTTCTTGGACACGGAGCTGATGCAGCTCTCTCTCTCTTCGGGGGGATGGAGCCATGACATGGGGGTGGGGGACAGGGAGGGGACTCCCTCGCTCCTGAGGGGATTCCTGGGGGCAACTGGGGGGACCAGGCTGGCACTTGGCTGACCCAGGATCCCAGGGCACCACTCATCCAGACAGACACTGGGCATCCGTGGAGCACAGAAGTCCCAGGACAAGGGCAACCAGATGACCCATAGAACAAGAAGTGGGCGGGGAGGCTCTGATGCTCGGGGCCACCGGCTTACTGACTTAGATCCCTCCGTGGGCCTGTGCCAAAAGTGGCCAGTGGCTGGGACAGCAGCTCTCACTCTGGGTCTTAACTCTGCCTGGGAGGAAAGGCCACTGGGCTTGATGGCTCTGCTCCCGAATTGGTGGCTGAGTCCATACAGGGCCACAGGCACCTGGGGATGAGCTCACCCAGGGCCCCCTGTGGCCGGCACACAGGGTCGGTGTGCAGCCACAACCACAGTGCAACACTCAAGAGATACTTGACGCTTGTGCGCGGATGGGAGCCGTCTCCAAGAGAA